AATGGTTCGTGATAGATATTAATGAACAGGGCAGATTGAAGGAAAAAGGGAGAGGTGTGACAGAGCAAGGAAGAAAAAAACAAAGCAACAGTAAGAGCCATCAATGGAAAAAGGGTCAAGAAATGGGAATGATTAAATGGAATGGAAAGGTGTGGTGGTGGTAGGTGGCCAGACACTTTTTATACTAGGAGTAAACAGTTTAGCAACTCTGTATGGAGCAGAGTAGACATGAGTTTAAAGTAAAGCAGGACAGGACAGAAAAATAATGTGTATCTACTTTCCCCCATAAGAAATATCTGGGACTTTTTGTTTCAGACAATTTTTTTGGAAACAGAATTTACTGCCTACTCTGGTCTTTCTTGCTGACTGATCTTCTATACTACCACCTCAATGCTAATCTAGGTTGACACTGGTTTTTAAAATTTATCTGGTCTTTTCTCAGTTTCTTCTCTGTTTAAGATCATGGCAGCAGCTAACTCATCAGATGGTGATTTGCCAGCAGCTGTTTTCCCCAGCTTCAGGGAAAAGCTTAAAATATTCTCACTGCTCTGGTTTCAAGAACAGAGAATGCACCTGCTGCTGCATCTTTTAGATTGGGGAAAATAGCACAAAAATAAAATAAGCAGTATTTCTTTTCTGCTGTTACTTTCATCTCAATGCAATGAAAGTTTCTGTTCCCGCAGTGCTTTGAGGATAAAAATTAAAATAAAATCCAGGACATTTTGCTCCTGGTATGGCTCTTTAATGGCCTTCAATTCCTGGTAAATATTGGTGTGGAAGAAGGGTGGGGGTGTCTTGTGTCATACTTCTTCTTGGAAAAGTGATAAGAGTAGTCCATCTTGAAAAGTGCCCAAAACACTGTTGATGGACAAGAGATACAGGCTGCAGGCTCAGTGAGCAGAAGAATGGAGGCACAAGACTGTATGCAAAAACACATGCATTTGAATCTCTTCATGCTACACCATGCTTTGCACACCCCAAATCCAACTCCTTCTCCAAAGGGCTGGGATGAGCAGAAGGCCTGGGAGAGAAAGACAAAAAATCAAAGCTAACCAAACTAATAATAATAATAATAATAATAATAATAATAATAATAATAATGGAAACACAACCCAGAAGCATGCAGGAATGGCTGAAATACTGGATGAGATCCCCAAATCTTGTTTATCAAGTAAATATGGAACGGGATGGTGGTGGAGAGAACATGACAAGTGAGCTGCGTCTCCTTAGTTAATATTTTCTGTGCTGGGAGAGAGGTTTGAGTGGGTTTTATGTCATACTTTCCGTGAGGAGAAGAGAATCAGTACTCATTGCAATAGACAGCAATGACAGAAATATGGATCTAGCACTGGAATATCATCCATTCATTTTTGGTTTCAGTCCAAAAACAGAAGCAAAACAAAACTAGAAGCCAAATCTTTTTTGTTTATTTAGCAGTTCTGGTTAAAGTTGCCATATAGGGATTCATACACTCCTTTACTAAATGGTAAGTTACTATCATGTACATGTAACCACTTGGCCAAGAGTCAATCATCTGTATTGTCCTAACAAGTGGTGAAGATCTTCATACTTCTGCACCTGGAGTCCAGGGAAGCAGTGAACATCTTGTTAGGTAACGCAAGACAACAGAGACCATCAAGTTCACATGTAAACTGTGGTAAGTTACCACTTAGTAAATCACCCAGGGTATGAATGGTAAAGGAGTGGGGTTGCAAATTCCTGCATCTGGCATCATATCCAGCCCATGTTAAATACAGGCCTGTTTTGAAATGGACACTGTGCCACAGGCTGATAAAACTAATCTGATCTTTCTAAGTGTGAGAGCCAAAGGATTTCCCACAACCTCACAAAAGGAGTTTGAAGAAATCAGAAGAATTATTCTATTCTGCAGAATCCTGGGATCTGTAGTTTGATGAGGCACCAGAGCTCTCTGACAGACCAGGCTGAATACCTTTAATAATAACTCCTTAGTTATTAATGCATATATAGGGTTGCCAGATTAATAACTGGAGAGGACACTTGTACTTTTAATGACTGTGTTAAAAAGGAATTTTCAGCAGCTGTTGCTTGTTACCTGGTTGCAAGACAAGCCACATCTGCTGAAATAATGTACACAACCATTAAAACTACAGGACCCCCTTCCAGTTTTTACTCTGTATCCTATGTCCTGTCCCTCCTCCTTTTCCTTTATCAGTTCCTGAAGAAGATCATACAATTTTTTTTCTTGCTGAAGTGCATTGGGCTAACATGAGGAATAAAACCTTTATAAAAAACATCCTGAAGCTAAGATCTAATTTGCCCTGCAGAAATAATGCAGTCTGACTTTGCTTTAATTGCCCTGGCTCAATGCTATGGAATTCTGGGATTTGTAGTTCTGTGAGATATTTAGCCTTCTCTGTCAGAGAGCTTTGGTGCCACAGCAAACAACAAATCCCAGGATTCCATAACATTGAGCCACAGCATTTAAAGCGGTGTCAAACTGCACTATGCAGCCTCAATGTCAGTTTTAAATCTGATTCACTAGATGTTTCCAGTTCTTTCTCTTTTTGTATTTCTGCTTCCATAATGTGGTGGATTAGCTTTGTCTGTCTGAATTATTGCTGTCTTTTTTTGGTTCTGCCATTACTTCTCCTGCCGACAGCTGAATTAATATCTCAAATAAATGCTTTAATTTGGCTTCTCGTTAAATCTGAATTTATAGCGTCGATTAATTCTAAATCTGTAGGCAGATTTGCCAGAGTTGATAATGACACACTGAAGCCATCCATAACTGAGAAGTAGTGGGATCCAGAGCATCATCCTACCACTGTTCAGTTAGGGGTGTCTTTTCATGTCATTGTATTTATTCTTCTTATAGGTTACTTGCCCAAAGGTTGGGTCCATTAAGATTTCCTGGCAATAAAAACCTGCAAATGGAACTGGGCATTCTCCCTTGAGAGACTCCTATACCGCCCAGAGGATTACAGTTCCCAGGATTACTTGCTAGTAGGAGGGGTTTGGTGGGGTTTTTTTGGGGGGGGTGGAGATTAGTATTTTCAGTGGGAGGGGGAAACTATCACAGGCCAAATGGTGAAAAAGAACAACAGACAAAAAACCCTATGAATATTATTTCCTGGATAGTTTGGCTCAAAACTCAAGAGTAGATGGGGTGCACATTCATGTCAATTCTTCCTGTGCCAAATAGGATTTGTAAATCCTTGCTGCAATGATATGAATTAAACTAGGTCTCTGCAATTTGTGCACCACCAAGCTGAATGCAGACTCCCTACTTGTTTGGTGTTTGCTGTTTTCAAGTACCAGGGAAGCCACAGCTAACACATGTGGGCTAAGGGCCCACTTACACAAGGTGATTATAGTGGTATAATTCCACTTTAACAGCCATGACTGCATTTCATGGAGCCCTGGGGGTTGTAGTGTGGTCAGATACACCAGGGGAGCTCCCTCGCTGAGCATTATGAATTTGTTGTTGTTGTTAACTGCCCTCAAGTCAATCCCAACTCATGGAAACTTCAGCTGGTCCAAAGAGCTGCAGCCAGGCTGCTAACTGGGGCAGGTTACTGAGGCCACACAATGCCCCTGTTGAAACGGCACCACTGGCTGCCAGTTTGTTTCTGGGCACAATTCAAAGTGTTATAAAAGCCTTATATGGCTTAGGTCCAGGCTATTTGGCATACCATACCACCCTGCATGAACCGTCCCAGGCTCTGAGATCCTCTGGAGAGGCCCTTCTCTCATTCCCATCACCATCACCATCACAAGCACAATTGGTGGGGAAGCAAGACAGGGCCTTTTCGGTGGCTGCCCCTAGATTCTCGAACTCCCTTCCCAGGGAAACCAGAATGGCTCCCTCTTTGTTGGCCTTCTGCTAGCAGGCTAAGACCTACCTAACTGTTCAGACCTACCTGTTCAGACAGGCTTTCAAAACTGAAGTAAAGTACCGGCTTGGGATGTTGTCTCATTTTAAAGTGATTCATTTTAAAATGTTTTGTACAGTTTTATCTTTTTAAAATGTATTTTGTTCTTTAAACAACTATCTATTTTAACATTGTAACAATTTAATTCCTTTTTAATGCACCTCTTTTTATGTTTTTAATTGTATT